TTGATGTTGCTCTGGGATTCAAAGGCTTCGTTCCTCTGAATGTGGAGTTTCCCCTCAGCCACCATGGCTAGTAGCCACTGATGGACTTCTCCTCCATGAATCTATCTAATCCCTCTTTGAAAGCTGTTTATTCCTGTGGCCATCACTGCATCCTCTGGCCGCGAATTCCACATTTTGGGGGAGGGGTTTCTGTATTTTTCGTATATGCGTGTGTGTGTGTGAGCGCACCTTGGAGTCATGGCGACCTCTGGTGACCAGTGTTCCCTTTAAGCTCAGCTGGTGTGAGCTAGCTCACAGTTTTTTAGCCTCCGCCTCACACATTTTTGCCTTAGCTCAAGCAGGATGGCTCCAGAGCATACTAATTCATGCAGGAGCCAAATTGCTCACTCAGAACTTGAATGCCAGTAGCTCACAAAATAGAATTTTTGCTCACGAGACTTCACAGAGGGTGCATTGCTGGTGACTGAAGCAGGAAACCAGCTAGGGAGGCAGTGGGGCCCTTGGATGACCAAGGGGTAAAAGGAGTACTGAAGGATGATAGGGAAATGGCTGAGAAGCTGAATGCATTTTTTGCCTCCGTCTTCACTGTGGAAAATGAGAAGTGCTTGCCCACTCCAGAACCGCTGATTTCAGGAGGTGTGTTAAAAGACCTGAGCCAGATTGAGGTGACGAGAGAGGAGGTCCTAAAACTGATAGACAACTTAAAAACTGATAAATCACCAGGCCCAGATGGCATACATCCAAGAGCTCTGAAAGAACTCAATTGTGAACTTGTGGATCTCCTGACAAAGATATGTAATCTTTCCTTAAAATTTGCCTCCATTCCTGAGGATTGGAAGGTAGCTAATGTCACTCCCATCTTTAAAAAGGGTTTCAGAGGAGATCCGGGAAATTACAGGCCAGTCAGGCGGATCATTAGAAACAGGAAACCAGCCAGGGAGGCAGTGGGGCCCTTGGACGACCAAGGGGTAAAAGGAGTATTGAAGGATGATAGGGAAATGGCTGAGAAGCTAAATGCATTTTTTGCCTCCGTCTTCACTGTGGAAGATGAGAAGTGCTTGCCCACTCCAGAACCACTGATTTCAGGAGGGGTGTTGAGAGACCTGAGTCAGATTGAGGTGACGAGAGAGGAGGTCCTAAAACTGATAGACAACTTAAAAACTGATAAATCACCAGGCCCAGATGGCATACATCCGAGAGTTCTGAAAGAACTCAAATGTGAACTTGTAGATCTCCTGACAAAGATATGTAATCTTTCCTTAAAATCTGCCTCCATTCCTGAGGATTGGAAGGTAGCTAATGTCACTCCCATCTTTAAAAAGGGTTCCAGAGGAGATCCGGGAAATTACAGGCCAGTCAGTCTGACGTCGATACCGGGTAAATTGGTGGAAACCATTATTAAGGAAATAATTAGTAAGCACATTGATGAATAAAAACTTTTGAGGCAGACTCAGCATGGGTTCTGTAAGGGAAGATCTTGTCTCACTAACCTGTTAGTGTTCTTTGAGGGGGTGAACAAACATGTGGACAAGGGGGAACCAATAGATATTTTTACCTTGACAGAAAGCTTTTGATATAGTTCCTCATCAAACGCTCCTAAGTAAACTAAAAAATCACAAGACAAAAGGACAAGTCCTTTTATGGATCAAAAACTGGCTAATTAACAGGAAACAGAGAGTGAGTATAAATGGGAAATTTTCTCAGTGGAGGGTGGTAAGCAGTGGGGTACCGCAGGGATCAGTACTCGGTCCACTGCTTTTTAACTTGTTCATTAATGATTTGGAGTTGGGAGTAAGCAGTGAAGTGGCTAAATTTGGGGATGGTACGAAGTTGTTCAGGGTGGTGAAAATCAGGGAGGATTGTGAGGCACTCCAAAGGCATCCATTGAGGATGGGCGAGTGGGCGCCAATGTGGCAAATGGGATTCAATGTGGCCAAGTGCAAGGTGATGCACATTGGAGCCAAAAATCCTAAATGTAAATACACGTTGAAGGGGTCCAAACTGGCAGAGACTGATCAAGAGAGAGATCTTGGGAGTTGTAGTAGAAAACTCACTGAAATTGTCGAGACAGTGTGTGACTGCAGTAAAAAACGCCAATGCTATGCTGGGGATTATTGGGAAGGGTATTGAAAACAGATCAGCCAATATCATAATGCCCCTATATAAATCAATGGTGCGACCTCATTTGGAATACTGTGTGCAGTTCTGGGCACCACACCTTAAAAAGGATATTATAGCTTTGGAAAAAGTGCAGAAAAGGGCAACTCGAATGATAAAAGGGTTGGAACACTTTCCCTATGAAGAAAGGTTAAAGCGCTTAGGGCTCTTTAGCTTGGAGAAACGACAGCTGAGGGGTGACATGATCGAGGTTTATAAGATTATACGTGGGATAGAGCAGGTAGAGAAAGAGGTACTTTTCTCCCTTTCTCACAATACAAGAACTCGTGGGCACCCCATGAAATTGCTGAGCGGTCGGGTTAGAACAGATAAAAGAAAATACTTCTTCACCCAAAGAGTGATTAACAAATTCACTGCCACATGAGGTGGTGGCAGCTACAAGCATGGACGGCTTCAAGAAGGAATTAGATAAGCATATGGAGCAGAGGTCCATCGGTGGCTATTAGCCACAAGGTATAGATGGGGACTCTGGGGCAAGTGATGCTCTGTCTTCTTGGTGCTGGGGGGGGGGGAACAGTGGGAGGGCTTCTGGTGTCCTGGCCCCACTGCTGGACCTCCTGATGGCACCTGGTATTTTTGGCCACTGTGTGATACAGAGTGTTGGACTGGATGGGCCATTGTCCTGATCCAACATTGGCTTTTCTTATGTTCTTATGACCCCTACTGGAGGCCTGGGGAATATTCAGAGAGGTGGCTCTCTCTGGTATTCCTCTGGTATTCCTTGGAAGTCTCCCATCCACGTGCTTGCCAGAGTCAACCCTGCTTAGCTTTTGAGATCTGACAAGGTTGAGCTTGCCTGGGTTATCCAGGTCAGGGCGTGAATCCCACATTTTAATCACTCCCAGTGTAAAGTAGTATTTCCTTTTGCCCATGTTGAACCTACTGCCCATCAGCTTCATTGGATGCCCTCGAGTTCTAGAGTTTGGGGCGAGGGAGGGAATTTTCTCTTTGTCAACTCTCTCCACCCCATGCATAGCTTTATAAGCCTCTATACGAACGTCTCCCAGCATTTGGCAGCACAGAGCTGGGCATCCCAAATCCCTGGCAAGCTTTGCACCTGGGTCTTGGCTGAGCCATGTCTCACTACATAAGCAACGTCTGTAACATGTCCTGCAGTAGGATGTCCTTCGTATCCCTGTGCAATGCATGATCACCTGAGCACCAGAATGCATGTTATCTCCCAGGGCACAGTTGGGTCACTAATGCAACCCATTGAATGAAAACAGAAGCATTCACCGTTTGCCTCTTGCTCATGCTTGTGTGACTGGATGCCATCAGAGGACAGTACTGAATACACTGCCTGCCGTCCAGCGGAGGCAGACACGGCATGGAACCCAGCACAACGGGCCTTCCCTCCCAGAGTGCTTCAGGTCAGAGAGGATCGCAGCATCACAGAATCACAGAGTTGGAAGGGACCTCCAGGGTCATCTAGTCCAACCCCCTGAACAATGCAGGGAATTCACCAATACCTCCCCCCTCCACACCCGCAGTGACTCCTGCCCCGTGCCCGGAAGATGGCAAAAGAAAACCTCCAGGATCTCTGGCCGAACTGGCCTGGAGAAAATTGCTTCCTGACCCCAAAGTGGTGAGTGGCAGGGCTCTTTTTGTAGCAGGAACTCCTTTGCATATTAGGCGACACACCCCTAATGTAGCCAATCCTCCAAGAGTCGTGTGTCACCTAATATGCAAAGGAGTTCCTGCTACAAAAAGAGCCCTGGACTGATTGGCCTTTCCCTGAGTATGTGAAAAAGGGCCACAAGAACTAAGCCCTGAGGCAACCCTTCCTGCTCTCCCTCTCATGATCTGCCTCAGTTCACAGAATCAACATTGCTGACAGATGGGCCATCTAGCCTCTGTTTGAAAACCTCCAAAGCAGGAGACCCCACCTACTCCTGAGGAAGCCTCTTCCACCGAGGAACCGCTCTAACTGTCAGGAAGTTCTTCCTACTGTTTAGCCGAAAACTCTTCTGATTTAATTTCAACCCCTTGGTTCTGGCCCGACCTTCTGGGCCAACAGAAAACAACTCCACAGCATCCTCTGTCTGACAGCCCTTCAAGTACTTGATGATGGCTGCCGTATCACCTCTCAATCGTCTCCTCTCCAGTAATCTCCTCTCAGTCGCTTTCCAGGAGGCGCAAACTGTCCCATCCCCGTAAGTCTTCTCAGGGTTGTCAAAGCTTTGAGAATGGCAGGAGTACTCCGTCCATGAATGTTAGCTGCATAATGTGTCTCTTGTAGGACCGGCAAAAAGCATCCGTACAACTATTAAGAAAGCTGTCCCCCTTTTCGGAAGACTTCATGCAAGGAGAAGCGGGTTTATAATTCTAGAGACTCCCGTTGGGGCTTGACTTTTAAAACACTGATGCAAAATTGTCTGGTAGTTGGCAATCTGTATGTACTGAATGTTATTGCTTATTGAATGTAATGAATATTTGTACCTGACTAGGATGAAATAATGACACACTATGCACTTGACTAAATGATGACCATAAACAGAACACATTTGTTTGTTAAAAGGTTTTTGCAGTGTATATTTATTTGTTACCAGAACCTCCAGGTGGGGCCTGGAGATCTCCCCGAATTACAATTGATCTCCAGATGGCAGAAATCAATCCCCCCCTGAAGCAAATGGCTGCTTTGGAGGGTGGATTCTATGGTATTGGATGCTGCTGAAGTCCCTCCCCTGGCTCCACCCCCAAACCTCCAGGAAGCTCCCAACCCAGAGATGGCAACCCTACTTCTTCCCCCTCCCCGTGCAAAACCCAACAAGAACTTTGGGAAATAAGAAGCCCTGCATCTCTTTCGGGGCCATCCTCCTCACCTTCTCCCACTCCCGGGTCTGGTTCAGCACGATGACCACCAGTCTGGGATGTGCCTGGTAGCCGTCTTCGGTGAAGGATAAGTCCTTCCCTTCCCAGGTCACGTTCATCATAAACCTAAAAAGGAAAGGAAAATGTTCAAAGGGAAAAATTAATGAGCAGTCCAACAATTAATGAGCGAGCTAATTCAGTCATTGGATTAATGGCGATGAAGCACGGGCAATAAATCCTCTCCTTTTGCTACAAAAACTCCTTTTCCGGGCTGAAATCCAGTCCTCCGTGTCCGTGTTTGGGCATTAGTGCCTCTAAGATCAACGGCGCTTAATTCCTGAGCAAGGGTGAACGAGTGCAGCCTGAAGGGACTGGGATAGCGTCCTTTGAAGAGGCGGCCAAAATATTATGTAGATGTGGCTCATATTGAAATGGCGGTGTGCCCGTTATCCGCTTGTCTAACACAATTCAGACAAGATGATGGGACAGGACTGAAGAGCAGGGAAGATCCACGACTTTCCGCCCACAGTGCAAAAAACAACAATGTTTGCAGATTAGTGTCCCAGACAGGAGGATCAAAAAGATTATCCCTTTCCACAATATCAACGAGAGCTTCAAAGACAGAGAATGCCATGAGTGAAAGTGTTTATGAATGGACTCAAGGAGGGGAGGGACCAATGGCTGGATAAGCAAACTGATGCATAATTAAGCCAATATTACATGGTGTGCAATGAAGCCTCCCCAATATCAACGAGAGCTTCAAAGACAGAGAATGCCATAGGTGAAAGTGTTTATGAATGGACTGAAGGAGGGGAGGGACCAATGACTGGATAAGCAAACTGATGCATAATTAAGACAATAGTACATGGTGTGCAATGAAGCCTCCCCAATATCAATGAGAGCTTCAAAGACAAAGAATGTCATGGGTGAAAGTGTTTATGAATGGATTCAAGGAGGGGAGGGAACAATGGCTGGATAAGAAAACTGATGCATAATTAAGACATTGTACATGGTGTGCAATGAAGCCTCCCAAATATCAATGAGAGCTTCAAAGACAAAGAATGCCATGGGTAAAAGTGTTTATGAATGGACTCAAGGAGGGGAGGGACCCATGGCTGGATAAGCAAACTGATGCATAATTAAGACATTGTACATGGTGTGCAATGAAGCCTCCCCAATATCAACGAGAGCTTCAAAGACGGAGAGTGCCATGGGTGAAAGTGTCTATGAATGGATTCAAGGGGGGAGGGACCAATGGCTGGATAAGCAAACTGATGCATAATTAAGCCAATATTACATGGTGTGCAATGAAGCCTCCCCAATATCAACGAGAGCTTCAAAGACGGAGAAGCCCAAGTATGCCATAGGTGAAAGTGTTTATGAATGGACTGAAGGAGGGGAGGGACCAATGACTGGATAAGCAAACTGATGCATAATTAAGACAATAGTACATGGTGTGCAATTAAGCCAAGAGCACATCCAGGATTTAGATCCGCTCCACACCATTTACAGAGCTGTGGTGCTTTCGAACAGGCACCACAATGTGTGATTGAGCCTACTGACAATACAAATATAATACAAAATAATAATTTGATTCTGCATTGCTGAAAATTGCACATATATCATTGCAGTTAAGTGACCCTTCCTCCTCAATAATTCGATTCTGCATTGCCAAAAATTGCACATATATCACTGCAGGTAAGCAACCCTTCCCCCTCAATAATTTGATTCTGCATTGCCGGAAACTGACCTTTCCCCCTCAATAATTCGAATCTGCATTGCCAAAAACTGCACGTATATCACTGCAGGTAAGTGACCCTTCCCCCTCAATAATTCGATTCTGCATTGCCAAAAACTGCACGTATATCACTGCAGGTAAGTGACCCTTCCCCCTCAATAATTCGATTCTGTATTGCCAAAAACTGCATGTATATCACTGCAGGTAAGCAACCCTTCCCCCTCAATAATTCGATTCTGCATTGCCGAAAATTGCACGCATGTCACTGCAGGTAAGCGACCCTTCCCCCTCAATAATTCAATTCTGCATTGCCGAAAATTGCACACGTCATTGCAGGTAAGCAACCCTACCCCCTCAATGCATGCCAGCAGAAGGCAAGAAGGGACAAACATCTATAAAAATATGTCTGGTGCCCAGAGGCTGGTTTTACAACCAACCTGAAAACAGTGCCATCTCCGACACATCATAAACATCCAATTCGCTGATTGGCAAGAACTACCCGTGCAACTATTCCCAGCCTGAAGAACAGACCGTCAGAGTACATAAATGACACCATTCCAGACAACAGCCAATTTTAAGGACAAAATGAAAACGCCGGAGGAGGGTTGCTACCGAACAGAAGCAGCTCCTCATTCGCCCAGCAGCAGTTGACCACGAAGTGCCACGTAACCGCTTGGTTATGTCGGATCAGGCCAGGGCTGGAGGGGATTGTGCTGCAAGGGTCAGTGTGTGGACAGAAGGGGGCGCAGGTCCTGCCTTGCTGACCAAGAAGGGGCAACTGGCCAGACTCCAAAGATGGATTCTGGCCTCGGTCCATCCCAAAGCACCCTGTGGCCTGCCACTCACGGAGCCGCAAATAGTCAATGGCAACGGTGATATATTTACAAAGGGAATATCACTCTTTTATAGATTTTCAAAAAAAGAAAAAGAAAGATCAATATTAATACTAATACATTTCTGTGCATCCATACAAGAATAAACATCAAAAAACGATTCCACAATGTTGACAGGCACAGTCCGATAATCTAAAGTTCTTGCAAACAGCAAATCTTCTTTGCGTCTTTCTTGTACTAATATTGGATTGTAGACAAATAGCATAAAAGGTCAGGAATTAAGGCTTCTTCAGAGCAGAATACGTGTAGACTCAGTGAATCCTTTCCTACTCAGCATTCGTCTCTGCATGCTGTCTCTCTGCATAACGCTCCCACTCCGTGAAATCTTCTCTTATTCAACTTTCTCTTTGTCTTCGAGAGAAAGCATGCAAGGAGGTCGCAAAGAAGATTGACAGCTCGTAAGAACTTTAGATTACTGGACTGTGCTTGTCAACATGGTGGAATCATTTTTTGGATGTTTGTTCTTGTATGACTACACAGAAATGTATTAATTTGGTGTAGTAGTTTAAGTCCACGGACTCTGATCTGGGAGAACCGGGTTTGATTCCCCACTCCTCCACTTACAGCTGCTGGATGATGTTGGGCAAGCCATAGTTCTGTCAGAGCTGTTCTCTCAAGGACAGTTCTGTCAAGAGCTCTCTCAGCCCCACCTACCTGACAGGGTGTCTGTTGTGGAGAGGGGAAGGGAAAGGAGTTTGTAAACCACTCAGACTCCGAGTGAAAGGCAGGTTATAAATCCAATCTCTTCTCTTCTTCTCCTCTTCTAGTATTAGTATTAATATTGATCTATTTTTTGAAAATCTATAAAAGAGTGGTATTCCCTTCATAAATATATCACGGTTGCCATTGACTATTTTCTACTCACGGAGCGCTGCAGTTGCACACCTGGACTCCAAGACCCAAGCACATCTTAAGGAACATTTCTAAGACATATTCTGCCCTTGCCTTGCCAGGGACAAGCCACAACCTTTGCCGTTCAACTCCCTTAACTCAGTAGCCAGCAAAAGGCAGAGGTGCGCCTATAAATCAGGGGTCCCCAACATTTTGGAGCCTGTGGGCACCTTTGGACTTCTGGCACAGCATGGCGGACACAGCCACAAAATAGCTGCCATAGGGGGTGGAGACAGCCACAAAACGTCCGCCGCAGCTTAGTTTCGGTCACAGAGTGAACCTCCTTGTCCTACTGTGGGAGCTGCTGCCAAAGCAACTGTCATGATCTGGGCTGTGCAAGCAAAGGCCTAGCTGGCCCGAGAGCCTGACTAGCAGTGGGAGGAGGCCAGGCCGACAACTCCCAGAAGCCCCTGAGAGATTTTGGTGCCAATTTTAGCCAATCACAGAGAAAGGGGACTTATAATAAAAGAGCTGGTACAGAAAAAGAAGGAGCTGCGGTGGCTCAAGTGGTTAAGACGCTGAACTGCAGGTTGTGGAAGGTCAGTAGTTCAGCAGTTCGAGACCCGGGTGCCGCAAGACGGAGTGAGCTCCCATCTCTAGTTCCAGCGCCTGCAAACCTAGCAGTTCGAAAGCGAGAAATTGCAAGTAGATAAATAGGTACCACTTCGGTGGGAAGGGAACAGCGTTCTGTGCACCGGCCACATGACCACGGAAACGTCTTCGGACAGCGCTGGCTCTTCGGCTTTGAAACGGAGATGAGCACCGCAACCCTAGAGTCAGATTCGACTGGCTTTCGAGCAAGGGAACCTTTACCTTTACAGAAGAAGAGCTTCCGAGAGAGCAGGGCCAGAAGGAAGGCTGCTGCTGGGAGAGACCCTCACCCAGGGAGGAAGGGTGAGCAGACTCAGGCCCCACTGAGACTGTGAGCTAGGGACTGTGAGTCTAGTCGCGTTAGGGCATTTGGTTCCTTTTCTCTTCACCTCTTTATTGCTATTGTTCTGGCAGCTTGTTTGTTCCCCATATTTGACTGACCTCCTGTATAATAAACCTTTTATTTGTTGCCTGGTCTTCACACCTATTCTTCGGCCAAATAAGGGAGGTCCGAAGCTCCTGGGAGGGGGCTCTGGGCCTTCTCAAGGGATCCTAAAACCAGAGTGGTGGCAGCGTCAAGTGACACCCCCACCTGAGCCGTGACAGCAACGTTTTACAAAATCTGGACAGCCAATCAAATCTCCAATGGCCCATCAGAAGCCATGCTGGGAAAAACCCCCACCCACTTTCTAAAAATACTTGGTGGGTACCAGAAAAGGTGTTGGTGGGGATTCTTCTATCTCTGCGACGGATTCAGATGTGCCTGCAATTTGCTCGAACGAGGGCTGACGGGGAACGTGTCGGCAAACACAGAAAGGAGCAACCAGGCTGCAATTTCTCAAGCCCGAAAAGCTATTAAGTCCTTCCTCTGTTTCATGCTGCTAACTGATCGTTCCAATCTTCGCCTTGTCTTGTTCTGGAGCAACTGGGGGAGGAAGGGAGCGGCTATATTTGATCCACAGATAACGGCACCGAGGGCTCGAAATAAATTCTTCCGAGATGTTATCAAGTAA